CAAGATGACGATGGAAAGGACCAGTCACCCCTCCTCTAAGTCAAGGACTTAGAGAGAGCAAGAATGCTACTGGGACAGCTGCAGGAAGCAAAAGGGAAAGAAGGAAAGGTCAGTTACCATGGGTGCTGGGGGGAGTGTAAGGGAAGGCACGGCAGGACTTCCTTTTCCTTTTTTTTTTTTTTTTTGAAAGACTAAAGGCAATTCATTTATGTTTCTTCCTTAGTTTTATTTCCTGCTTGTAAAACAAGAATGTGATTGTTCTGTAAAGGTTGAAAAAGTTCTAAAGCCCCTACAGAGAAAACTAAGGTTATCATTCCCATACTCCGGGAGCATTACAATCTGGGAGATTGATCGATTCTATCTTTTTCTTGGGCACTTTCAAATCTTTAAACAAAAATATAAAACCCTGTACATCCACTTGAATAAGATAAAGTTGTAGTTTTTGTTTTGTTTTGCTTTTTTTGAGATGGGGTTTCTCTGTGTAACAGCCCTGGCCATCCTGAAACTCACGCTGAAGATCAGGCTGGCCTCAAACTCACAGAGATCCATCTGCCTCTGCCTACTGAGTGCTGGAGGCACCACTACCACCTGGCCAAGTTGTAGTTTTTAAAAAGCATATAGGGCTGAAGAGATGGCTCAGCAGTTAAGAGCATTGGTCATTCTTCCAGAGGACCCAGATTCAATTCCCAACACCAACACCCACAGGGTGGCTCAATCATCCATAACTCCAGTTCCAGGGAATTCTACACCTTCCTCTGGCCTCTGTGGGCACCAAGCACACATGTGGTGCACAAAATACAGACAAAAATGCCCATACATATAAAAGACCCTGTCTCAAAAAAACAAAAACAAAACAAAATATAACATAATTCCATACAACACAAATTTATCATCTTAAGCCATTTCTAAGTATACAGCTCAGCAGATGTAAGCATTTCACATTGTTGTGCAACAGCTCTCTGTAGCTTTTCCAACTAGCAAAATGGAAACTATACACATTAAACAATGCCCTATTTCCTCCTCCCTGAAACTTCTGGTAACCACTACTCTAGCTCTACTTCCTGTTTCTATGAACTTTACTTGAGAAACCTCCATGAAGTGACATCCTACTATAGTCACCTCTCTGTGGCTTGCTCCTCCACCACAGAATATCTTCAAAGATTCATCCATGCTACATGATGTACCACCCACTACCATACAACCGTAATCCAAAATACTCTGATTTTTTCCAGGTCATTAATAGTCTTCTTATACGATACAATGTTCAATAACTGCATAAGAAATCACCATTTGTTTAACTCTGTGGGGAGACAGGTAGTTTCAGCTTTTCAGTATTATAAATGATAATAAACATCCTCGTAGATAAAGTTTTATGATCGTTATCCCTCCTGGTAAATACCTTTAGGTTAGTTTCCTCAATATGAAATTTCTGAGGCAAAATATATGAATCTTTGGCAATTCATCAAGGAATGATTGACATATAATCAACTGCATATATTGAAAGTACATAATTTGGGGTTCTGGAGAGATGGCTCAGGAGTTAAGAGCTTTGGCTGTTCTTGCAGAGGACCTGGGTTCAATTCCCTGAACCCACTGGGTGGCTTACATCCAGCTGTAATTTCCGTCTCTGGGGACTCTCATGCTCTCTTCTGGCCTCTTCTGGTACTGCATGCATGTGGTACACAGATAAGCAGGCAAAATATCCATACATGTAAAATAAAATATTTTTAAAGAAAGCATGTAATATGATTAATGTCCTAGGTGTACAAATGTGAAACTATAATCAAAATCAAGGTCATGAAGGTCATCTTTCATCCCCAAAAGGTTTTTCCTATGCCCTTCTTCTCTCTCCTCTTTATAACCCTTCTTCCTATTCCTCCCGCTAAATCATATGATAGGTGTATTTACCTTAGCAAGAAATAATCAAACATCTCTCAAAGATGTCAGATAATTTCACATTTGCACAAATTGTATAAGGCAGTTACAACTACTCACCAACAATTTGTATGGTCTTGATAATTCCACACACTTTATTGGGTATATTGTGATGTCTTTTGTGGTTTTCATTTCTTTCCCCCAATGACTAATGATGTTAAATTTGTCACACTTTTGTGAAGTGTCTGTTGAAACTTTTCATTATTAAAATTTGTTTTATATTAAAACTTCTTCCTTTATTTTTTATGTGTTTTGCCTTCCTGAATGTTTGTGTACCAGGTGCATTCAGTGCCTACAGAGGCCAGAAGAGGGCATTGGATGCCTGAGTCAAGGCCATTGGGCCCTTGAGTGGATATGTGGGTGTTGATAATTGAATCTGTGTCCTCTGGAAGAAAAGCTAGTTCTCTTAGTCACCGAGTCATCTCTCCAACCCCTTGTCATTAAAATTTTAAAGGTCTATACATTCTGGATATAAGCCTTTGTGAGATGTTGTCTGTAAATATATTCTCCAAATCTGCACTTCATCTTTCCCATAGTTCCTTCATGGGTCAGACATTAAGTTTGATGAAATCCAGTTTATCAACTAATTTTCTTCATATGTATGGCCCTCTGGTATTATCTAGGAAAATTTTCCCTATCTTACAACCACATGAATTTCCCCTAAGTTGTCTTTGTGAACTTGTATGATTCGTAAATTTTACATTTAGCTCTAGAGTTCATTTTTTGAGTTAATTTGAACATAGGGTATGAGGCCTGGCTCAAAATTCATGTTTCTATATACAGGTATCCTATTGATCTAGAACTGTATGTGGGTCATATTTGGTGGTGGTGGTGGGGATGGAACCCACTGCTTCATGCATGCTAAGCTCCTACATTCTAAACTGTTTTGTTTGTTTGTTTGTTTGTTTGATTGATTTTTGGTTTTTCAAGACAGGGTTTCTCTGTGTAGCTTTGGAGCCTATCCTGGCACTCACTCTGGAGACCAAGTTGGTCTCGACCTCACAGAGATTCGCCTGCCCCTGCCTCCCGAGTGCTGGGATTAAAGGCGTGCGCCACCAACACCTGGTCATTCTAAACTGTTTAAGTAAAAGACTTTCTTGTAACCCAAGCACTTGGGAGGCAGAGGCAAAAGAATCAAGATGAGTTCGAGGTACTTCCATGTATCTAGGGAATCTAAGGCCAGCTTGGGTGCATGAGACTCTGTTCCAAAAAGAAAAACAAACGGATTTTGAATTATCCACTTAATTGTCTTTGTGCTTTGTCAAAAAACAGTTGGCCATGTATGTGTAGGTCTTTCTGGACTCTGTTCCATCGATATGGTGATTCATCACTAAATGATGACATGTCCTTAAAATGCAATGTTAGCCACTGTGTGAGCATCATGGAGTATACTTACATAAACTAAAATGTGATGTCATAAGTCAAGAAAACCTTACACAAGCCTGTTCCTGAAATATCATTAGTGTATGCTTATTAAATAATTTTGTATTAATACCACCCTGTCTTGATTTTTGTAGCTTTATTAGTCTTGAAATTAGCTCCACTTTGTTATATTAAACATTTTTTTTTGTTTATTCTGGGCCCTTCACATCCACCTCATGAAATTTAGATTTTGTTAATTTTGACTAAAACAAAAACCTGCTAAGATTTTTATTAGGATTGCATCAAATGAACTGGGGGAGACTGGTATCTTAATGTTGAGTCTTCTGGTCCATGGACATGATACAGGCAATATATATTTAGGCCTCCATTTCTCTTAGAAATATATTGTGATTTTCAGCGTATAGGTCTGGTGCATTCGATTAGATTTAGTTCTAAACATTTGTTAGTTTTGGTACTATTCCAAGGGATGCAGATTTTCACTTCAATGACCAATTGTTGTTTCTAGCATGTAGACATAGCTGGCCCTTATATCCAGAAACTTCACTAATAAATTCACCTCATAAAACAGCAGCTATACCATAGTTTATCCATTCGTCTACTGAATGCCATTCTGGTTGCTTCCAAGTTTTACTGATGAACAAAGCTGTCATAAACACTCTTGCACTGCACTGGCAACACCTGGGCGACCGTTCAAAATACAGTTTTACAACCACCTCACGAGTCAGCTCTTCATTTCTTCCAAGTTCAAGAAGTTTATACACGATCTTTCTCCAAACGTAATGCACACAAGAATCATTTGCAGGCACTTGTTGATCTCCATCTCAACATTTTAATTTAGTAGGTCTGTAGCGAGAACTAGGGATCTGTATTTTAACAAGACTCTCCGGTTATTCCTCGGCTTCTGACCTCACGGGCCACGCTGACAACGCGCTAAAGTTATTTCTCGCCTAGCAATGGTCAATTATTTCTACCAGTGTCTACCAGGTTTTATACTGGAAAGGGGGCGGCGCGGCGATGACAACAGCTCTGGTGCATGTTAGTGTTGAAATTAGATTGTAATAATGAGAATTCCATGCGGTAGAAAAATTAAATAAAGCCAAAGAGAGAGAGGGCCTTCAATTGATCCATAATTCAGTGGAGGCGAGAGAAATATCCACGCAGATAGTTGGGAGTGTATTTCCTCTCCTTCAAAAATTTGCCAGTTGTATCGATGAGCCCGAGTCCCTTCGACAGTAAAAAGGATGGTAATCTGCCAGAGGAAAAGGAACCTGTCTGTCAACTTTCTGAATTTTCCGTCCCCAGTGTCTATGTCCAGAAGCTTTGGATGAGTCGAGTTCC